TCCATCCCATCTTCACCAATTTTTTGCTTCTTTGACGGATACTCTGGCATACCATTCATCTCAGAAGAAGACCGTGAATCAGCATCATCAATCCCCGAAGAGCCTGACTCTTGAACATCCATGCGTGATGGAGGCCCTAACTCAACACCCATTTCGTCTATGGACCCGGAACCCATCGTAGAGAGAACAATGGAAATCAAGCCTGTTTCCAACGAATTCGAAGAAATAGCAGAATTACTTTTTTAAAACAAAAGATAACAGTAAATTAAGAGGTCACTCGATTGCCAACAGAAGAAAAAAAAATTCCAGTTGTGATTATATTTAAGAAGAAGAAGAAGAAGAAACCCCAACCTTGAACCGGAAGACCTGGATTGGAAAAGGAACCATAAAGAAAAATTAAGAGGTCACTCGATTGCCAAAAAAGAAAAATTTCTTACCAGATTAATTTCATTGATTACCTTATATTTTATTGATTACTTTATTTGTTTCATTAATTTATATTTTATGAGTTATTTTTTCTCTTTTTTTGTATTCCTGTTTTTTTAAGGTTAAACTAATCTTTCAAAAGGTATGATGTGATACGTAAGGTTTGAAAAAGTAAGGGTAAAAGTGTTAGAATAAATGACCAACGCTAGAGGGGGGTGAATAGCGTTTGATCGTAGAAATTGCAGGAATAAAAAATTAAGAACATGAAAAGTAAAGAGCGTAGAAAGCGTAAAAGGAGCACACCAAGATTTATACTGGTTCACCACAACGTGTGGCCTAATCCAGTCTCCCGAGAGACTCTCTCGAGCTACACTACTTCCGTTAAGCTTACGGGTGCTTAACAAACCATTACAACCTGAGAACTCGAGTCTCACGAGCCTCAACAACACTTGCTCGGAGATACCGCACTCCAAGACTTCAACCCGAAGGAAAATCCCTTTCCTTCGTGCAACCAAGAGAAATAAGCTTCCCTTAACGTGTATACAACACTAAAACACTCAAGAACAAGACTCTCCTTAAAAGTGGATATTGAGTAAAATATATACGCTTAAGAACAACTCAAGCTTCACACAAATTGGCTCTAGAAAGCTATGGAAAATAATGTTGTTTGGATGCAATGATGATATGAATATTGTGAAGTAAATTGATAAGAGAAGCAGACCCAAACAACCCTTTTATAGTGCCAAAATAGGCTCCAACGGACCAATACATTAAAGGGGTGATTGGTTTGATTTATGGGATTAAATAAATATGGGATCTGCAGGATATTGGCTTCCAATCGATGTTTAGACTCAACCATCGCTGGTAAGCCAATTTTTCTTCAGTTTTGAATCCAACGGTCACCTACCCATCAATGGGTAAATGTTTCCCATCGCTGGGTGGGAGGTTGACTTTCAAACAAAGAAATAAATCAGCCTTAAATGACCCACAACGGTCATGCCTAACCAGCCATGGGTATGCCCTCCCATCGCTGGGTTCCCATCGATGGGTGAAGGTTCCCATCGCTGGATAAGGGCATTCTGCCTTGTGAAAATGTTGGACCAAGGCTTAAACAGCGATGGGTAAAACTTCCCATCGCTGTTTGGCATGGTTCTGGAAATCAGTTGGGCTGAATGTTGCTTACCCATCGCAGGGTAATATCTCCCGTCGCTGGGTAGAATGATTCTGGAATCCCGGAATCACTTACCCATGCATGGGTGATATCTACCATCGCTGGGTAGATGGCTAGCCCAGAACCATGGCTTAGCTGACCGGCACTAAAACCCGACCGAAAAATGCAAAGTTCTCCAAAGTAAAAACTAAGTATATAAAACACTTATTTAATGTATTGTGATGTCAAAACAAGCTTTTTAAGTTGAAAACCACGTCGTTAAGGTAAAAACCACGGTTGACCAAGTCAACGCCGTACACGGGTGGTTTTTACCAAAAGACAAAACCGAAAGGTGGTTTTCATGATGTTTTGATTGGAGAACCATTTAAATGCATTAAAAAACAATTCCTACACAAAAAGACTTGAAAATCACTTCATTTAAGTAAAAACCACGGCTAGCCCACCGATGCAAAACCGACCAAAAAAACTAAAGTTCTCCAAAATAAAAACAAAGTGTTTAAAACACTTATTTGATGTATTTGGCTAAGAAATCAGGTGAGACACTTTAAAAACCACGTCATTTGAGTAAAAACCACGGTTAGCCAAGTTTATGCCGTTTTGCGTGGTTTTTGTCAAATGACCAAAAACGAAAGGTGGTTTTCAAAGTGTTTTTGTTGGAGAACTGTTTAAACATGACAAAAAGTAAAAACCAATCATAAAATGTCGAAAACCACTTGGTTGGTTCGGACCCCAAAAACCAACGACGATAACCGAAAGCCGAATGCTGGTTTCTGAAAGCCGAACGCCGGATGACTTGGTTTTTGGTTTGGGCGAACACCAAGTGTTTTTGATGACTTAAACATGTTTAAAAAACATTTTTATGATGTAAGAAATGCAATGAAAAGATTTTAGCCTAAAGAGCCAAGGTGTAAAGATTGGGTCGGTCAGGATCACAATAAAGACGGACTCAACGATACCAGGACTACAGTCTTCGTTCTTGGTCTTCATTTAACTCTTGTTCTTATCTGCGTTCTTTGCCTTGTGTATTCAATTTGTGTCTTGATCACAGCGGTTTGGCATTATCAAAACTTGTCATAGAAACGAACACGACTTTAGTACGAAAACGTGACAAGCCCGTGTTTCAACAAAAAGTGGTTTTTTTAATAGAAATGAGTAAGGGTTTGTGGGAAACAATTTTTTTGAAACGTGTAAATCTTTTTGGGACAGAAGGAATAGATTATTAATATATAATTTGTATAATCTTTTAATATACAAATTATAAGATAAAAATATAAAATGGATTAAAGAAGTGCATTGAATGATGTGCCAAAAGGTAAATAGATAAAGACAGTGGAACGGGGAGTAAAAATAAAATATTCATAAAAAAATACTCCCTCCGTCCCGCTATATTCGTCCACTTTTGACTTTTGGAACTGTCATCTAAGCACTTTGACTTATCAAATTCTCTCAATGTGTAAGCCTAAATATAGTCATGCGTGATCTTGTTTGATTTGTCTTAACATATAGATTATTAATATATAATTTCTATAATTTTTAAATATACAAATTATAAGATAAAATGGATTAAAGAAGTGTATTGAATGGTGTGCAAAAATGAAAGTGGACAAATATAGTGGGACGGAGGAAGTAGTATGAGCTTCAATTTGTTAGGCAAAAAATAGTAGAACTTAACTAATCCAAAACTTACAAATTCTAATCACAGTAAAATCCTCACGATCACAAGTAACACAGGAGCACGAAAACGCATCTTTTCGCGGGATTCGCGGCTCCCATTTCTAATACCATTTCGATCGCCTGTAACACCAAACTACGTTGAAGCTTTGCATCATACCTAATTTACGCTCATCTCCTTAAAGGTTAGGGTTTCTTCTTCTTCATCCTCTTTTTTTGAAGTATAATTACAACTTCAATTTTTACTTTTGGTAATAGAGTGACCTCTTAATTTACTGTTATCTTTTGTTTTAAAAAAGTAATTCTGCTATTTCTTCGAATTCGTTGGAAACAGGCTTGATTTCCATTGTTCTCTCTACGATGGGTTCCGGGTCCATAGACGAAATGGGTGTTGAGTTAGGGCCTCCATCACGCATGGATGTTCAAGAGTCAGGCTCTTCGGGGATTGATGATGCTGATTCACGGTCTTCTTCTGAGATGAATGGTATGCCAGAGTATCCGTCAAAGAAGCAAAAAATTGGTGAAGATGGGATGGATCCCAGGCTTTCCTCTTGGAACAATATACCCTTGTTTTTCGAGTCCATGGAAGTTGAGTTGGGGTCTCAATGCATGGATGTTCTAGAGTCAGGCTTTTCAGGGATTGATGATGTTGATCCACGATCTTCTTCTGAGATGAATGGCAGGTCAGGTTATCTGTCAAAGAATCATAAAATTGGTGAGGATTGTATGGATGCCAGGCTTTTCTCTTTGCCCAATGTACCCTTGTTGTCCGACATTTGTGAGATGAAATGCATTCGTCGAACATTTGGAGAGCAAGTTCATTTCGACCTGGAAACACTTTGTGGCAAATACGTTCTGTTTTACTCTTTCGTCCCCTCACCTTCGAATTATCGCCTCATACAAAATTCGCTCTACCCCAATGATCTCTTTGATCTTTGTGCTGACCTGTATTCTGCACGAGACGATTTTGAGATGGTATTTGTTGCAAAATCGAGAAAGCAGGATGATTTACAACTATACTACTATGGTCTTCCCTCTTACTCTCTTGTTGTACCATTCGAGGAGTCGGGTCGTCCTAACATTATGCGTGAGTTCCATGACTTGGTTGATCCGGGTACTTTTAAATGTCTCTTTCTGAATGTCAACAAAAACATTAGCGTCCGTGGAAACATTGACTCCATGTCGCGTCTTACAGAGCATCTTCAGGAACTAATACAAGAAAGTCCATTTGACTGCCTGCGCTCTTTTCAAAGGATTTTGAAAAGGCTATGGCCTGTGATTCCCCAAGAGCAGAAAAATCCCTTCCCACGTGATGGTTTTTGTCCTATAGCCAAGAAATTGAATGCTGTGAAACTGGAATATGGAAATAATATCAATGAGATGGTTTCTGATTCAATGAAGTTATTTCCCACCAAGATTGGTCAATCTTTTGACGTTATCTCTTTGTTGTCTGGTAAAGGGGAGATGAAGAAGCACCTCGTTCGCAAGGGTGGCGATAGAGTTGTGGTTGATAAGCAGACATTTAGTGGAAAATACATCATGATTTGTTGCTTTAACGTGCCGGTCTTCCGCCATGAGCAAACTGCACGTTATGCCCAGGCTCTCACAACTGCTTGCTCCGAGCTGTATTCATCGAGAAACGACTTTGAGATGGTTGTAGTTGCAAGGATGAACCAATTGGCCAATTACGAGGTGTATTTCAATCACTTTTTGTCGGTGTTCCCCACTCCATGTCTAGTAGTACCATTCGAAGACTCGGAGCGCCGTGACTTTATATGCAAATACCTTGACCTCCGTGCATGCTATGATATAGGATGTCTCATTTTGGAGAAGGATACGAATAGCAAGAGAAACATTTTGTTTTTTGGGAGTCCTTACCTTGCACGGACTTATGGTGCTGATGCCTTTCCCTTTACTACTGAGAAATTGCAGGAAGTTAGCGCAAATGACCATATGTGGTGGGATGGTGATGTTCCTCCTCCAGCCAACCTTGAAGAACTTTTAGGGTGCAATCCGTATGATATTCTTCATAAGACTCCTTCACCAGGGGACCATGAGGAGGCGACTATATTGGAACTCAGCAGGAAGGTTGTTGGGGTGTACGCGTGCGTTTCTGGAGATTTGATTCCCACTCTTGGGAAGGTGTATCAACAGTGCAGAGCTGAAGAGAGAGAATTTGAGATAGTGCTGGTGTACATACCCTTGTTTGCTGACTCTGTTGACCCACAGGTTCACATGGCGAACATTGTGAGTTTGTTGCAGGAGTGGGGGATATCGTGGTGGCAGTTTCCCCCCTCTGGGAATCCAAACAAGCTCTTCAACAGCTCTGTAAGCTTTAGGGTCAGTCGATGTCTTTGCACGGGCCGCAGAGATCGAATCATCATCGTGGGACGCGATGGTTCATTTGTTGAACCTGGCAGAAGAGAAATCTTGAGCAAGTTTGGGGTTGATGGATATCCATTCAGCAGCGAGTGCGTTGTAGAAAAGGAATTGGAAAAGCTTGAGAAACTCACTATGGAGTCGCTATTGGTGCCTCCTCCGCCAAGGGACTTTGTTTATAAAGAGAAGAAGAAGATACACGTGAGTGAACTGAGGGGCAAGAAAATACTTCTTTACCTGAATAGATTTGGTGACTTTTGTCTTGCTGAAAAAGTGAGAGCCTGGTATTCTGAGATGAAGGGAACTGATCCTAATGTTGAAGTGGTAGTTGTTTGCAGATTTGACTATATTGTAATGGCAGATGAGGGAGATGAGTCCGATGTAACACTATCCGAATTGCTTCCTTTTTGGCATGTGTGCCCCTTTGACCCTCAGCACTCGGCATCTCTGGTGGAGGTACTGTTCAAGGGGGGTTGTGAGTTTGATGCCCTCATTGAATTTGGAACAGATGGCCGAGTTTGTTCAATGAAAATCGCGAGCGGTACCAATGACCTACCACTAGACATTGTGTTTGATAAATCTCAGCTACGCGATGATATCACTAGCCATTTTAGGTTCAATGGGTTTATATGACTGATCCCTAGCCCCTCCAAAACGGTATTTAATACCCTATCATTTTCAATGGGTTTATATGCTTCATCGTCATCATTGATTCTTTGTTAATATGTATCCTCTTTTCTTTTTTATTGTGATGCCATTGATCCTTTTTAAGGATGTTTGCCTTTGGGGAAAAAGCATTCTTGCAAAATGCGAGATGACATTACAATTTTTAGGTAAATTCTTTTGTAGGCTTAAGTTGCATACTTATTTTATAGACCTCAGTATATAACATTATGGATGAATTGTCTTTTTGAGTAAAAATATATTCATGTGGGCTATAAAAATTATTGAAAGATCTATGTTTGAAAGGTTACACGTCAATACATACACATTGTAACATCAAATTAACTCTACACCAAAACAAGAAATCATTCTAGGGTTATTTTTGTTATTTCTACCAATTCGTCCAAAGCCAAAAAACAGTAAACAGAGTAAATAGTCATTACAGCCTTCGAGTACTCGATCATGCTTCGTCAATGTCTTCTACTCCTCTCTTTGCACCACTTTGTTACTCTTATCTCATACTCTGTTTGTGGATATTTAATGCTAATGAAAATTTTCTTTTTCTTTCCACACCCTGTACATTCTTGATAATGTTCAAAACCTCTCCCACTCCCAAGGCACACACAGTATCAAAAATATGTTGCTTGATCCATGTATGGTTATTGAACACCATGATCACCCCACGTGGCTTGCAAACCATCTTTGTGGGATATATTCATAGCATGATGACCAATATTTAAGCATCTTCTCGTATAAAGCACTCCTATCAGCACACACATAAGAAAAAGTCTTGATTTGAAAATCCAATTTTACAATGTAATCATTTCAATTTAAGAGATAAAACATGTTACTGAATTCTAACTAGACTTGCTGGAACACGAATCTCTACGTAACACAAAGGTTTTTCCTATTTACATGGGTGGGCCATGTCCGACACAAATCACTTGAGCTAAAATTAAAGTTACGCTCATACCCGCCCACTTGGACCTGCGAAATGTCTACCTGGCGCGCCTCCTAGACCGGAGTTAGACAAGGCCCATCCTATCAGCCATTATCCATTTATATACAATATTATATGTAATATTTATTTGATATAAAAAGTGGTGGGCTTGCTGGCCTGTTTCTTATAACCCATATTTTCCTTGAAACTCGAGCTCAGCTCGCCTACTTTGTGTGAGTAATTATTGTTTTCATATCAACCCGTTTGGCCGTTTTTAAGGATGAATCGATTCTAGTTTGCACCGATTTAATTTTAACTGTCGAATTGCGAAACATTCCTCTCAAATATCACTCTCGCAAGTATATACATGTCCAAGATTATTAGAATTATTATCTTTTACCCCCCAATATCAATATAAATGACGTATTTATATAATAGATGACGTGTAAATAAAATGGTTATAAAGCACACGAGTAATTCACGAAGGGAGTAATACTTTGAATCCTTAATAATATAAGTATACATCAAACGAGCAAACAAAAGTCTTTGATTGACTAAATAGTAAAAGAGTAAATTATTTTTAAATGAAGGGAATATTTTGTAATTTTAATTCTTAATAATGCGGGATAATATATGAATTCGGATTTCATGTTAGTTTTTATTCCATACTACTCCATCCGTGTTCTTGAGTATTTGTCTACTTTTGACTTTTTTTAGTTGAAATTGTCAAATTTTGACCCCAAATTAAATAAAAATGATATCAGATATTGATACAAAAATAATTGTATTAGATCCATTTTATAAAATATTTCAAAATATTATTTTATCTAATTAATGTATAACATATATTTTAATTAATTATAGGTCAAAGATTGAAAATGGTTGACTGCTAAAAGTCAAAACTGGACAAATATTCAAGGATAGAGATAGTAATTTTTACTAGTATTTGTTTGTTTTGAAGTTCCGAAGGTTTCAGTTATTTCACTTTTTTGTATAAGTGCTGAATGTTGAAACGGTATGTGCTGAATGTTAAATTATGTACCAAGTAGAATAAAAAAGGTAAATACCGTGTAGAATAAAATGATAAGATAATATAATAATGTTTATACTTATTATTACTAGATTCATCCCCGTGCAATGCACGGACATAAAATTTGTCGTGTTTATTGATTGCTTACGATCATATATACATCTTAAGCAAACTCTTTAATTTACAACATTAGAAATTTAAGAGTGTGTGAGCAAGTTCCTTAAAACCTTTTAATGTCAATATTAAAATAAATTTATATTGCAATATATACTATCTTCTTTTCTGAGTATCTGTCCAGTTTTGACTTTTTCTACTTAATCATTTTCAATCTTTGACCTATAATTAAATAAAATATATATTGTATATTAATTTGATAAAATAATATTTTTGAAAACATTTGATGTAATAAATCTAATAAAAGTATTTTTGTCCAAATATCTAATACTATTTTTATTTAATTTGAAATTTAAGTTTACCAATATTTATCGGAAGAAGTCATATTTTATATAAAACTCACCTATTTCATAGTGTTTGAAGACATATTTTACCCTATCTTGGAAAATGATGTCCGAAAAGAATTTTAAAACAATCCTTATTAATTATTTACTCTGTATTAGTTTTAAAAAAATATAAATTTTAAAATTAAAATTATAACTTTTTGAAATATACTTAAATCTCTTATTGATAAAGAGTTTATTCTTAAACACATGGCACACTACACTAAATAAAAATAGGGTGTACTACAGAGTACGAAGTAATGATTTTCACTGAATGTATTATGTATGTTGAGGCCAACATTAAAACTTACG